TGGATAGCAGAAACAAATACCTTTGCCACGGTGATGAATGTCAACTCGTCATGTTATGGTTTGTTTGTTGATATCAATGATACTCTTTACTGTTCAATGCCTCATCATCATCAAGTAGTGAAAAGATCATTAAATGATTCTGAGATGACTTCAAATCGTGTTGCTGCTGGAACAGGTAATAAAGGAAATGACTCGAATCAACTCAATCAACCTCATGGAATCTTTGTCGATGTGAATTTGGATTTATATGTGGCAGATTGCCTAAATAAACGTGTTCAGTTGTTCCAGTCGGGAGAATCAAATGGCATCACAGTAGCTGGATACGCATCACTTAAGCCAACAATTACACTTCATTGGCCAACTGGAATTATATTAGATGCTGAGAAATATTTATTCATTGTGGATCAACTCAGTAGTCGCATTGTTGGTTCAAGCTTGAATGGTTTTCGATGTTTAGTTGGATGTTACGGAGGCGGGGGGCAATCCAATAAATTGAGCGGTCCACTTAGTTTGAGTTTTGATCGTTCTGGAAACATGTTTGTTACTGATACATCAAATCATCGAATTCAAAAATTTTTCCTGATGAAGGATTCTTTTGGTAAGTTGAAGAAAAGTTGAATGAAATGAAGAGATGTGAATAGATAAATAACAGAAGTTAATAAAGATATTTGAATATAAAAAACGAAAGAAAACAAAAATGATTGAGTAAGATTAATTAAACCAATGTGTAAAAGAATGTGTCTAAAGAAATGAAATGTTCAGATTAGACAGAGCCATGTGTCAATTGCTTGAGGCAAATAATGTTGGTCTTTTTGTTCAGCTTAAAGAATAGAGAAAGAAAAAGTTCTGTCCGTAATGGAGTGATAGAAAGGGCTTTGATATTTCATTTCATATGTCTCAAAGAACATTTTATCAATGAAACAGTTTTCATCAAAATAGAATCTCTTCATATCTTTGTCGATATAGTTTTAACATAAATTATTTTATGATTTGTCTTCATATTTCATATTTCGATATGTTTAATTCAAGAAAAATAGGAGAAATATTAGTTTCAACAGCTAGTTTTTCTTCTTTCTTATGTAGAAAATGAGTTTAGTCATTGTTTCTCTTTAAGAGAGATAACTTTCAACATGAAATATTATAAAAAAAATAAAATTTCTTATAAAGAAATGTTTGATTGTTGATTTGTTCTTTGACTAGTTATCATTATATTTAATTATAGAGAGTAGTACTGAATAGTTGAAGGCAATCTAGAATATGATATATATTATTATTTCCATAATTGTAAACAAAGAATATTTTCTATAGAAGACAATAGTTATTTATTGGATAAAGTAAATAAAATTTCTGGAGCGGATTTTGAATAAAAATATGTAGTTGCTTAATCAAATTCATTTGTTTAAGATGATCAATAAGAAAAATTGATTTTTAATCATATCTATTTTAGATCGTTCTTAAATGAAAACTTTACATAAGTTAATTAACAAAGTTTTGTTTACATTTTTAAACGTTGATGAGAAAAAGTTTTTCTGACTGATAAAAAACTCGTTAGTTGTACAAATATTTATTTTAATTTTTCTTGAAGATGTTTAGTTAATGATTGGTTTCGTTTTAGGAGAACTATTTATTCTTTTCACATGAAAATAAAAATTTTCTTGTTTTGTTCTTTATTTCATAGGAATAACATTGGAATCTGTAAAATGTTATTAAGATTACAAAGAAAGATTTGTTTTATTTATATTGAACAAACGCGAAATATTGTAATCTTTGATGAATCTTTGAAATTTCTTGAGATAAAAATTCTTCGAGCAACAATGTGTATGAAGAATGTCTGTAGAGAGAAAAGAAGAATTTCTGAGTTCGAAAAAAAGAATTTTGATTGATAAAAATTTCTTCTTTTCTGTTGATTATTTTTCTTTAAATAAATAATTTCTTTTATTCAACTATTTTCTTTTATACAATTTATTCAGATCTTCTATAAGATTTTTCAAGAAAAAGTAATAAGAAAATTTTTTATCTAAAATAATCAACATCGGTGTTTTAACGAAAAATATTTGAACAATATCGAAATTCGTAGTTCATATCAAAATTAATAAAAATCATTGTTAACAAACATTTCTAAATGTGTTTTTCATCAAAACGTTCTTTGAAGAAACTTTATTTTTCTCCTGTGAATATATAAATTGATAGTTTCATTTCATTTACAGTTCTTCTCTAATATACTTTCGATTTTTCTTGTGTTTAGCTCTTTCATTCAATCAGCCAAAGTTTTGTCTAAATGCTACTTGGAATTTTAATGGATTTACCATTGCCAATCGATCGATTGTTGGTCAATATCCCACTGCCATTTTTGTGAACACAAACAATACAATCTATGTCGCTAATCGAGAAAACAGTACAATTGTAATATTTCAAGAAGAGAGTCTCAATCCAACAAAGATCATTCACGGTAATTTTAC